TCTATTGTGGATTGACTCTCTTCGACAGAGAAGAGATGAAATTCTGGGATTTTATATCTCCTTGGGAACTCTTTGTAGTCTACCCACAGAGAGTATGACTTTCTGAACAGAGGCCTCTCAATTTTCCTTAGGCCAAGGCCATACAAATCTTGCATTATTTCTACCAACTAGTATCTGTTGAAAGCCAAATTCTGGCGACCATTCAAGTGTTCACCTTGATTAAAATATTGCCCGCTGGTCTTGGGTATTCATCTATGGGTTCCAATGGATGATGAATAGCAAACCTCTCACAACCCCTCCTGAGAATTTCAGGGGTTATTCTTGGTTCATTCCTTCCCCTAAGATATTTCTATCCGAGAAGAAGTTTGAAAAGACCTCTACAGGCTCTCCATCAAACATGTTAAATTGATTTTGATGTGGGATAGTTGGTCTCTCATTAGCAACCATTGGTGGTGGCCTATGATTTTCTATAGAAAATACCACAGAACTAGTATTTCCCTCATTCACCACTAGATTTCTAGTGGCAGTGTTTGTCCTTTGATTGACGGGTCCTAACACTAGTGCTGAGACCCTCATCAATTCATGCATGACATTAAATAATTCTTGCCTAATGCCAAAATTAGGATTGTGCAATACATGTTTCAGATTATGCACAAATTCTTGTATTTGCGTATTATCTTGGCCATTGGACTGGTCACTCACTGGGTTCGCAGATTCCACAAGAGGGGCACTCAAATTTGCTTCATGATTGCCATCGACTGATGTCATTTCCACAGTTTCGTTGGTCTCAGAAAGAATCTCGTCTTACTTCTTTGTTCGCACCATCTTTCTTTATCCAAGTTAGTATGGATGTCCCACTAGGCATGACAACAGATTGTTGCTCCAAAATCTGTTGCAATTGACAGAAATGCCTTAATTGACAGATAGCTCTCAAGCGATTGCTTTTGGATAGATTCTGTTGTCTTATTTCAGGACTTCCTTGGATGAAATTCGATAACAAAACACACAAAAAACTAAACTAATAAAGAAAAATATGCCTTTATTAATTCAATTGTGGGTTTTGGTTGCAAATGACTGATTTAACAGTTTTTTATTACAACACTAATTACTTACTAAAAACAAACTTTAGCACTACTCCTAAATACCTTGATCGTAGGTCTTGTGGGGGGTTTGAGTTGTTCTTTTTTCGTCGTCGTCCTCTTCCTCTTTTATAGCCACTCCTCTCGATTGTGTTTCACTCATCGACAGTTATTTGGTTTTGTAACTCTCCGGTAGTTATTTCTTCTTTCAAACCAAAGCTGTGGCTGGTCGCTTCCCATCTTTTCTTCAACTCTTGACACATGGCGACCTCTTAATGATTTTAAACTTGCCAATAACGCATACATCAAATGTTCTTACAATTTATATTTTAAGTCCAAATAGAGGTATATTGCTTGCATAAGCATTTTTTAAATTGTATCCTCAACAGCAAGAGTACTATTGAAACTGACATAGAAATTATAATGGAGGACAGCAATATTTCAAATAATACAAGGAGTATCTTTATAATTATATTAATTTACAATAACTGTCAATGTTAATTTACCCTAATAAATATGGGCCTAAGTGATACATCTTTTGGAAGATGGTCCCCACAAATTCGTCTAGTTTTCTCTCGGATTAAAAAAAAAAGAGGCTTTTTTGATTGTAGTATGATTTTGGGTAAAAATATGTCCAAAATAAACATGTATTCTCTTGTGTATATTCTTAAATTTAACAAAAAAAAAGAACAGAGAGAGAAAAGAAAAAAATAGTATCATGCATCATTGATCATGACAATCGGAAGGTAAACAACAATTTAATGGCAGCAACAAGGAGTGTTTGCACTGGGGGCTGGGAGACAAAGTGAGATAGGGGCATGCCAATAAGGTTTACAAGTCAACTGTTGGGTTATCAACTTTAAAAAAGAACACAATAGAATGGCCTTTTATCTATGAAATCACCAACTCACACAACCTTGAATCTATAACTCACAACATTATTAAATCATAAAAGAAAAAGAGAGTATTTTTATTGGAAACAATAATCCTACTTCAAAAAAAAAAAAACGTACTTTATGATTTTCTAATTATTTTGTGACAAGGGTCAAAACGTATCACATATACAGAATAATAGCTTTTTAAAATGGGGTGAAAGGAATATGAAAGTCGATTGCCTGGAATATTGAAAGGCAAATTAAAAACTAATTAAATGAATAAGACAATTCCGATAATCGGTCCCCATGGTCCATGCGTTGGCCTAGTTTGGTGGTTGGTCCAGGACTAAAAATTAAAAGCTTAAGAAATATTAACTAACTTGTTACTTTTCTTTAAAAAGGCGAATTATGTTTTGTACCCTAAAAAATTTTTGCATGTTCAATTTGCACCTTAAAACTTAAAAGATTAATATAAACTATCAATGTCAAAAAAAAAAATTATGTTTTCACAAACATTGGAAATTCAAATAATATTGTTTTATATTGGCATCGGTTGCAGAGAGAGTAATTTTTCAGGCTTTAGTTTTTTTGTTTTAGCGATAAAGAGAGAGAGATAGAGGGATAGTATGAGTGGTTAAGATGAAAAATCAGATTTGTGTTTGATAAAAAACATGAAATTTGTGTTTGATCATCGATTGAAACATATAAAAAATCAGATCTGAAGCCTTAGTTTATTGATCTATATCACTTGAATTCTGGCATTAGTTTTTTGGTTTCAGCGGTAGAGAGAGAGAGAGAGAGTCTGAACGGCATAGTTCTGAATAACAGTAACGACTACCGTAACGATAACAGTAACGGGCGCGGGATGAAACAGGTGTTATGTAACAGTAACGGAAACCCGGAGCGTAAATTTTTGTTTTTGTTCACACCTCACTCAAAAAAATAATTTATGTATTTTTAACTCTAAGTTTATGTAAATATAGGCCTTTTGTGACATGTTATACATTTTATTGTATTATAAAAGATGTTATATAAATTTATCTTTTAATAATTATGTGATAATTTATAAATTTTCTAGTGACTTTTAATTGAAGGGAACTCACTTAAATATTTATGTGAGAATTTAGAAACTATAACCAATTGAAATTTTATCAAGACTCGTTTTTTTAATTATGGTATACATTCTTGAAAAAATATTAGTAAAATATAAAATAAAAAAATTGTTAATTTTATTGGACCGAGCTAGACCCATTTTTGATATTTGGGCCAACTTTTAGCTATCACATTTGGGGATCTCTTGTTTTCACAAGGGATAACTTAGCCTTTTCGACCATGGTAAAAAAAACCCTAAAATAATCCCTTTACCAAGAGCCATTTCAGCGCCGTTCATCCACCCTTAATAGAGATTTCGACTCTTCCTTCGATCACCGACCTTGATTTATCACATAATCTTCTCACCGGCTCAATTCCGTCGAATTTTGGTAATTGTAGTGCGTTGGAAAGCTTCAATGTATCGTATAATCAGCTCACGGGACGAGTACCAGGTTCGATATTTTCAATTCTTCATACGTCGTCGTTCATCAGAAACGAAGGTCTGTGCGTAGGATTCTCCACAGACCATGCCGGACAGGTGGACTCACCACCGGGGCAGTAGAGGTTCGGCCGCAGCCGTTTCGTCCACCCAAAGTAGCCAAGCAGTAGCGTTTGCCGATGCCGTTGAAGAGGTACCAAATCTACGCATCTCATTCTCTTAATATCTACTCTTCTCTTTTCATAAAACCTTCTTGATTTTCTTGTGTTTTNTCTTGGCGAATAAGATTCCCCGTATCAGACAATGAATCTCCCAACTGATATATATATTCAAAGGGGTATTTTGTTTCTTGGGCTTCACATGAAAGCAGGAGGAGAGAGAGAACAATGGGAACACGGAAGAATACTGCGGAAGCCATGTTTTGAGAGAGAGAGCAGGCTATATCTGAATTGTATAATAAGATTACACGAGTGAGGAGCAATAGAATACTAAAGAGTAAAGAGCAGCGAATATCTTTCCCTCAGATATTTATCTTCTTAATATGACCAGTAATACATACAACAAATCAAATTTTGGGACTAAATTTAGAGTTTAAATGACATAACAGTTGACTTGAGTTTATTTTTTGGTACCATGTCATTTGAACCCTAATAAAAATTTTAAATAATATGCTATAATGTCATTTGAATTCTAAATTTAATTCTAAAATTTGATCAATTATTACAACTCTTGTCGTTTTGTTCAAAAAAAAAACTATTAGATTTTGGAACGAAATTTTTTTTTTGACCCTCTTAACTATGACCCTTTTCATATTATCATTTCAATTATCATATTTTTCACATAACACTCTCAACTATGCAATTGGTTTCGCACTGCACCTAATTTTTAAAGTCCATTATAAATTTAAAAGAAACTTATCGTATTTTGTCTTCTGAATTAAGTAATTTATTTTAATTTGTTTCGATGCATTTGTAATTTTCGTCAAAAAAAAATAGCGGACGTCTATGATTGGGTCAATTTAAAATAATTTAAATAATTGAGAAGATAATATAAATAAAATGATAATCCAGGGAAAAAGTGAAATCAAATTATCAAACCCCCTATTTTAGGAAATCAAAGTCTAACTTGTCCTTCGGAAAAGTGAAGATGAGAAGGACCACCCAATGATGTCGCCATTGTCAAGTGACCGACATCAACTCTCTCTCTCTCTCTCTCTCATGAGATATAATTTTAGGTTTATTGTTTCCAAATTACCCTTATATTGATGGTTCACTTGCGTATATCAACTAAATTTAAGTTTTTTTTTTTTATCAAAACTAATTCTAAGTAACGTGTGAAGGTTTATAAATCATTTATTTTTTATTCAAATGACCTCAAAGATTATAAGTTGGGGAACTCTACTATATCGTTAACTTATTTTTTAATATGGTACCGAAACGTAAGATAGACTGTACATGTGACACATAATTTTTTAAAATCGGTGAAACCGTTTGTTCTCAGAAAATAGAATCTATCCTAAAAGAATTGAAACACATCCAATAGAGATGTACCTAGTCCAAAAGAGTTATATCACATCTAATAGAGTTATATTTCATCCAATAAAGTTAGAACNAAGAACAATCAGGGAAAAAAGTTGATAAAATTACTACATAGTAATACCATTTGTTAGTTTGACTATTATATTTTTAGATTGATAGTTATAGTAAATATGTTTAGTTATGACTTTGGAGTATATATATATATATATATATATATATAACGGGATGTAACGCCCGTTATATTCCGTTACGCTGCCGTAGCGTCCGTTACAGGTTTGATGTGCCTTTGAGTTGAGATTTTTTTTTTACCGTTTATTTTTTAGATATTTAATGTTTGAGTTGGATTATGGAGATTAAATATATGTCTTTTTGATTGGGTTTGTATTTCTATAATGTATAAATATAAATTATTTATGAATCTAATTGTTTTTACACAGACTGATTATAGTATCTATATTTATATTCATACTACTTTAAGCATTTATAAAATAAATTAAAATTATAATAAAAAATTAAAATTGTGTGTTCTCGTGCAACGCGTGTCGAGCACTAGTATAAATAAACGTAAATAAAAAAAATCAAGTAATCTTATATGCAATATCTTTTAAAAATTATTATTTTCTTGATAATGAATTAGACGCGTTATAACTGGGTAATTGTAACCCGATCCCTTTCCTTTTTTTTTTTTGCCCATTTTGTTGGATCGAGTTATTTTTGAGTTTTCATCAAGAATCTTTTATTTTCAATTGAGTTCTTGCCGTGAATTAACCAACCCTATTTTGATTCTTTTAGTGTAAAATTCATAAGTCAACATATTGTGTCGAAAATTATTATCCTCGAAGAAATCAAGTCAAACCTCCTATTCTCTATTTATGACCAAAAGAGGAAAAAAATAAAAGAAGAAGGACAGAAGGAAAGAAACTAAGTCTATGTAGAGCAGGTGTTCATGAGTTAAGCCAACTTACCAATGAAGTCTACGATGAGAAGGCCATTAGACCAGCGACCAGTGGGCCTGCCGAGAAAGCTTTCGCCGTAGGGCAGGTGGGCGGCTGCCACTGTTTCTCCGGTGGTGTCTTGGCGAATAAGATTCCCCGTATCAGACAATGAATCTCCCAACTGATATATATAATCAAAGGGGTATATTGTTTCTTGGGCTTCACATGAAAGCAGGAGGAGAGAGAGAACAATGGGAACACGGAAGAATACTGCAAAAGCCATGTTTTGAGAGAGAGAGAGAGAGAGAGAGAGAGAGAGAGAGAGCAGGCTATATCTGAATTGTAAAATAAGACTACAAGAGTGAGGAGCAATAGAATACTAAAGAGTAAAGAGCAGGGAATATCTTTCCCTCAGATATTTATCTTCTTAATATGACCGGTAATACTACAAATCAAAATTTGGGACTAAATTTAGAGTTTAAATGACATAACAGTTGACTTGGGTTTATTTTTTGGTACCATGCCATTTGAACCCTAATAAAAATTTCAAATAATATGCTATAATGTCATTTGAATTCTAAATTTAGTTCTAAAATTTGATCAGTTACTACAACTCTTGTCGTTTTGTGAACGAAAATTTTTTTTTGACCCTCTTAATTATGACCCTTTTCATATTATCATTTCAATTATCATATTTTTCACATAACACTCTCAACTATGCAATTGGTTTCGCACTGCACCTAATTTTTAAAGTCCATTATAAATTTAAAAGAAACTTATCGTATTTTGTCTTCTGAATTAAGTAATTTATTTTAATTTGTTTCGATGCATTTGTAATTTTCGTCAAAAAAAAATAGCGGACGTCTATGATTGGGTCAATTTAAAATAATTTAAATAATTGAGAAGATAATATAAATAAAATGATAATCCAGGGAAAAAGTGAAATCAAATTATCAAACCCCCTATTTTAGGAAATCAAAGTCTAACTTGTCCTTCGGAAAAGTGAAGATGAGAAGGACCACCCAATGATGTCGCCATTGTCAAGTGACCGACATCAACTCTCTCTCTCTCTCTCTCTCATGAGATATAATTTTAGGTTTATTGTTTCCAAATTACCCTTATATTGATGGTTCACTTGCGTATATCAACTAAATTTAAGTTTTTTTTTTTTATCAAAACTAATTCTAAGTAACGTGTGAAGGTTTATAAATCATTTATTTTTTATTCAAATGACCTCAAAGATTATAAGTTGGGGAACTCTACTATATCGTTAACTTATTTTTTAATATGGTACCGAAACGTAAGATAGACTGTACATGTGACACATAATTTTTTAAAATCGGTGAAACCGTTTGTTCTCAGAAAATAGAATCTATCCTAAAAGAATTGAAACACATCCAATAGAGATGTACCTAGTCCAAAAGAGTTATATCACATCTAATAGAGTTATATTTCATCCAATAAAGTTAGAACCCCTACCCAAAAGGTTGGAATTTTTACCCAAAAAATTTAGAACCCACCCTAAAAAAGTTATAATTTCATACCAAAAAAGTTAAAATTCTTACCAAAAAAGTTAGAACTCCTACCGAAAAAGTTATAATTCAATTCAAAAAATTTAAAACCTCAAGCAAAAATTGGAACCCAAAAAGTTGGAACTTCTACCCAACAGTTAAAACCAACCCTAAAAAATTATAACTCAATTAAAAAAATTGAAACGTGAGCCAAAAATATAAATTAATATATTAAAATTGAAACTTTATCCCAAAAAGTTAGTGCCACCCCCAAAAAATATAATACAATCCTAAAAAATTAAATTTCATACCAAAAGCTTATAACTCAATCTAAAATTGTTTAAATCTGACCAAAATAGTTGTAATCTAACTAATTTGAATCACTCCCAAAAAATTGGAACCCAATTCAAAAAAAATTATAATCCTAACCCAAATAATTGGAAGTATTATTTACAATTATTATAATTATTTAATTTTATTCATTATTTATTTGTTGTTAATAATTAACATCCAAAGTCATCTAATAAATATTCAATTTATCAAATCAACATTAAAGTAACTTGCAATTTCATCCAATTAATCCTCAATTCATTAAATTTACACCAAATTAACATTCAATTATTCAAATCAATATTTAATTTTACCTAAATATTTAATTCATTAAACTAATATTAAAATTCAACTAATAAACATTTAATTCATCAACATAATATTCAATCTCATCTAATTTATATTCAAATTCATTCAATTCAAAAAATTAACATCGAAAATCCTCTAAAAAAATATTCAATTTAATAAATCAAAACCAACGTAACACGCAATTTTAGCNTCAATTCTATCTAATAAACATTTAATTCATCAAATTAACCTAACATTCAATTCATCCAATATATATTCAAATTCATCCAATTTACGCTAAATTCATCAAATTAACATCCAAAATCATCTAATAAAAATTTAATTTATCAAACTAACACCAATGTAATAAAATAATTCAGTGAATAAATATTTAATTCATCAAATTAACACTAAACTAACATTCAATTCAACAAATTAACATTCCATTTTGTATAATAAACATGCAATTCGTNAAAAATCATCCAATAAAGGTTCAATTTAACAAATCAACATCAAAGTAACATACAATATCATTTAATAAACATTTAGTNAATAAATATTTAATTCATCAAATTAACACTAAACTAACATTCAATTCAACAAATTAACATTCCATTTTGTATAATAAACATGCAATTCGTTAAATTAATATTTAAATTAACTATTTAAAATTAAATTCATCAAATTAAGATTCAATTTCATCCAATTAATATTCAGTTCATCAAATTAACACCAAATTAATATTCAATTCTTTAAATTAACACTAAATTAACTTTCAATTCATCAAATTAACACAAAATTAATATTCAATTCATCAAATTCATATTCAATTCCATCTAATAAATAATTAATTCATCAAATTAACTTAACATTCAAATTAATACTAAATTAACATCCAATTTATATTCAAAATCATCCAATTAACACTCAATCCATCAAATTAACATCTAAAATCATCTAATAAAATTTAATTTATCAAACCAATACCAATGTAATATAGAAATTTATCAAATAAACATTTAATTCATCAAATGAACACCAAATTAACATTCAATTCAACAAATTAACATTTCATTTCGTATAATAGACATTTAATTCATTAAATTAACATCAAATTAACATTCAATTCATCAAATCAATACCAAATTAACATTCAATTCATCAAACTAACACCAAATTAATATAAATTGTATGAATTGAATATATATTTGGTATTGATTTCATCAATTGAACATAAATTTAGTGTTAATTTGACGAATGAATATGTATTAGATGANTTTTTTTTATCAGATTGGATTGGGTTGGTTGAATGTGACATTTTTTGTGTAATTGCAGCAAAAAGTACAGGTGTGGGATCAGATGTTGTTGTGGTTGATCCTCCTAGGAAGGGGCTGGACCCATCTTTGGTTAATGTGTTGCAGACTATATCATCAGTGAAGCACAAAGCCAAGTTATCCGAAGGGTAGTTCTGTTTCTGTGATTCTGTCCAATTGAAATCTAGAATATCAACGAGGATTCAAGTAATGCAATACTTTGAGGACATTTAGCACTTGAAAAGATGGTGCTTACTTTAATTGATTATTTGTAGTTCAGTCTTAGCTTAAAGCTCAAAGATGAAAAGAGACATTCGATTCTATGAGCAAGAAAAGCTTCGGTTCAGATTCAAAGTAGAACAACATAGAAGGAAATACAATCACTGCCTCAGACTCTTTTCTTATCTGTATAAGTTATGGATGAAAAAGTTTTAAAGAGGTTTTTGTGGCTTTTATGCTATACTTGGTTCCTGATAAACTGTCATGTAGTAAGATCAGGTTTTACNGTATAAGTTATGGATGAAAAAGTTTTAAAGAGGTTTTTGTGGCTTTTATGCTATACATGGTTCCTNAATGAATTAAATGTTACTTTAATAGTATTTTGTGTTGGGTTACACTTTTTTTGGGAGTTGCAACAGATATGGATGATGGATCCAATAAAAGTAGGAACTGAATTTTTTCAAAAAATTCAACTGTTTTCGAAGGAAACATCCTATCCAATTTTTTTTTTCAAAAAAATACTTTGCATCACAAAATTTTTTTTATTCTCAAAAAATTTATATGTACCAGTAAAGGGATGAAGAGAATGTAAATAAAGTGATTTGGGCTGGAAAAGAAGAAAAAGGCGGGAAAGGCAAAAAAAAAAGGTAGTAACGGGGTAGCANTCATTTTCAAAGTGGAAGTGTGAATCATTTTGTAAAGCTTCTAATACAACAATTGTATCACATGATTGCATCTCANTGGTTCCTGATAAACTGTCATGTAGTAAGATCAGGTTTTACTTTCATTTTCAAAGTGGAAGTGTGAATCATTTTGTAAAGCTTCTAATACAACAATTGTCTCACAGGATTGCATCTCATTGCTATCTAGTAAGCCATGACATTTGGACAAAGCCTATGGTTTCAATTTCTTCCTACAGAGCATTTTGAGTTAAACTTATCTAGGTTCATCTTTGCATGATTGTTTAACTGATTTTGAGTTTGTAACATATTGGGACAAAAGATAAGCACACGTCCTAATACAATTGTGCAAATTAAATATATTTTTTTATAAGTTTTCATATTCTCCAACATATTCACAGGTTCTTGTGAACGNGTTCATCTTTGCATGATTGTTTAACTGATTTTGAGTTTGTAACATATTGGGACAAAAGATAAGCACACGTCCTAATACAATTGTGCAAATTAAATATTTTTTTTTATAAGTTTTCATATTCTCCAACATATTCACAGGTTCTTGTGAACGCCAAAGATAGGAAGTTATATTTGGTTGGTTGCTCAGGAAAAAATATAAAGGCTTCACTCATGAGAAACCCCTTTGTCTAAGTATTGCAGAAAATACATCGCAGCAAATACCTCTAGTACAGTACGTCAACAATGACCTCTGATTTTGACAGACCAAATGAAGTGCTTCAAAAGCATCCCACATCAGGCCGTTGAGCCCCACGAAAGTGGCCAATATCCCATTCATAACAAAAAACACATGGGTCATACCAGAACCATGAAAAACCCAAACAAGCCAAAAAAGAACACATTATCGTAGTGAGAGTAGCACCAAAGGACAGCACCAAGGGACAACAACAAGGGGCAGCACCAAGGGAAACCATCACATGAGCTAATAGA